CCATAAAGTACTGTATGTCCGCTTCGATATGTTTTAGGAGATCATGATTAACACCATACCACAGATCAGCTATAAGCTGCAGCCTGGTAGAGAATCTGGATTTAAGCGGCTTAGTAGAAAAGATTTTCCTGTTCTATTTTTGAGAAACTCAATTTTATTTTTGATACTTCTTTGACTTTACTTATTGATATATCTTCTACCTAGATGTGTTTTATTCGATGTTTTTTAAATTTTATACTTCAGTGATTTTACTCATTTTTACTGCTAATGTTGTCAAAATAAACATAAAAGAAAGAAGGTTTACAGGAAGCTTAAACAAAAAGGCCACGTATAATTAGGTTTAGAGGAAGTCGGTTGAAAAATCTAGTTCATATAATGAAGAAAGCTGGCTTGGAATATTTGACACTCACAGGATATATTGCAGAGCAATAAAGATAGAGGTAATCAGCGCCTACACTACCTAAAAAGCTTGATTGGCAAAACAGGAATTTGGAGAATATTGCAAAACGACAAAATTTACTAAGTCTTACAAAAGATAGAAAGATGCGGAGAGCCATGATCACACAAAGGTATGAAGGGTCACGGCACGCTGAAGAAGAAAAATGTCTCCCGTTCATTTGTTTATAGCCACAAATTGCATGAACTACATAATGCGGACATTCTAGCGCATATAAGCCTGTTGGCTAAGTGGGTAGTTAGGTCTTTCATAGAAATATTTAATAACAGGATGTAGAACGTTAACCATTGGCAGAGTAAAGTTTGGTGTTAATTAAAGCAGTATGTGCCTTTAAGAATAATAATGATGTCTAGATAAATGGAAATAATATTTGTAAGCCCTTAACAAAAGCTTTTTGAGTGGTGTAGGTCAAAAACCAAGAAGCTTTATGTTAATGGATAGATTGATGCAAGACAATGTCCATTTACGTTGGTGCAAATTGCCTGTTGCCCCGCTTTTATCAGAAAAGGCTATAAGTTACCAACCCTTCAATTTCTCAAATAGAAAACTCGAAGACTCATTAAATACGATGTACGTGATCATTTACAATATTGACATTGTTCGGACTGTTGTCCTTCTCTTCGTTGCCATATTCAAAACTTTTCGGCCGTTGTACGCTTCTGTCTTCTTCAGGTGATTGGAATTTCGAACTAAACTTTAGTCCACTGGGGTTGCCCTAGATTCAACCAACGCTTTTATTCATTGGGCTATGCAAAATAAGGACAACAGTTCGAACAATGTAAATAGTGTAAATAATTACAATACCCCATCTGAGAAATATAGACAAATGCTGAAGAAGACCAGAGCATAAAACGACCGGAACGTCGTGAATATGACAATGAAGAATGACCATAAAGGAAACGCATATATGGGAAGTCGCGTGACTTTAAGAGAATCGCTATTTGTAGGCTATCCTCTAAACTATACGGATCTGCATTTCTACTCTATCCTCTATTAATATACGGTCCGCTATTTCTATTCTCTTCTCTGTACTATTCTCTATTCAGATCTATACGGATTATTACTCGAGCGAGTATTACAGAGTAAGTACTACTAGTGCGATAGATATTCAAAGGCGTCTGACATCAGTATCGTTCAACGGCGTTACTATAGTTAGTTGTTTTGGGGATTAATAAACTCTATACTATAACAAGCATTACGAAAGTGACAACGAGTATTCGTTGGCATTACACAAGTGGCAACGAGTGTTTGTTGTCATCACAAAAATCCCACTTGCTTCAATAGCCAACAAGCGAGATGGTTTTTATGGAGTAGCCAAGCATAATCCCCTACAAAGGAATACAATTCATTTTTTTTACAAAAAGGTACAGGATATTAACAATAAGATTCCAGTTAGTCAGTTAACGCGATTTGGTAAGGAGCTTAAAATTTAAAAAAATACTCTATCGGACGAATTCTGCATGAGAACCACCAATACAAATGATTTATGAATGCGAAGGGGGTCAACTCATGTCTGCAAAGACGAAAGATGACTAGTGAAAAATGAGGGTTCAGCAAATTGAAATATAGAGGGCCTGATTAGAGGGCTGGTTTCTATTTTTCTATGATGAGAAAAATCCATATCAGGTCAAAAATGCCAATCGAATGAAAAAGAGATGGTTAGGTTGTGAACCCGAGGACATTCCAGACGGTCATGCACACAAAGTGTCCGGGAACTGCGATAGTTCTGTAATCCGTGGGCAACAAGGGAAAGGTCATGACTACTCACTTCTTTCGTCAGTGCCACAGGGTTAATACTAATGACTATAAGGAAGTATTGGCAATGATTATGAGACCTGGCATAGAGAGTACGTCCCAAGGCAGACCATGAGTGCACCATCACATAATTCCAAGACGATACAGAAAATAATTTTACAATGTCTACAATCACGTCCTCCTTATGGCCTCATAGCTCCACAGACCTGAATCCATTGGCTCACTAAATATGAATCATAGTCGAGTAGAAAGTCGATCAACATCAGGTTTCGGTTTATCAATGTTTTAGACCTCGGATTGAAGTAGTCACCGATGCTAATGTGTGACATATTAGGTAGATGTGCCAAGAAGTCTCTCAAGATTATCCCTGACAATTGTTCTCAAATAAAGCCCTACTTTCAACGATTTTGGCGTATTTTATTAAATTCATACAAAATCCTCAAAGAACTAAGCAACGCTTCAGAATTTCAAGAAGTCTATAATGAGATGCATATAATATAAACTGATTTAGTTATATGAAACATTGTGCTAGTCACACATTTGTTTCTGTTACCTATATATTGATAAATAAATAAAACATTTTGTACTTTGTCTTTTGCATAATCAACGTGGCACCTACGGGATAAGTTATCGATATTTTTAGGAAGGATGGATATAACCGGAAACTGAGTAGATATATTGTACATACAAATATAAGTATATACTGAAAATGGTTAATCAGTTGGTCAATATTAATTTACTTCTGAACGCATTGGCTTGCATGATATCAATAAGCCATAATGTGCGTGCGTGTATTTCTTTCTATGTGTATGTGTATATTTATAAATTAGTATGGATATGTGGGTATCTGAAAGAAAGATTGAAAACCAAAGATTTGGAAGTTATCGAGTGTTCACAAAATGGGAAAACATTCATATGTAAATATAGCAACTTATACAAGCTTTTTTCCTCATACGTAGATGTGACATGAATTACTCTGTACAATTAAAATGTATCGATCTTAGATCTTCGATCTTCTATCACGTTGCCTGAAGAAAAGAAACAGATTCTTCGCCCCCGGGGACGGGCAGGAATTCTATTACAAAGGCAATTAGATCATCTAAACAACTCGTCTGCCTGTAAAATCTGGCGTCATCCAGTCTTGAAATGTAGTAGATTGTGTTTTTGTAACGTTTCTTTTCGCTTTTTTCGACTTGTTTAATTTCTATTTTGCGAATATCTTTTTTTCTTTCTTTTCGTTGCTAATTCGGGGTGAAATCTCGCGCCGTTATGCAAACGCCTCAAAGACGTAATTTTACAGGCAAAATATATATAGATCTATAATTTATTTTAATTTATATTTTGAATGACAAAAAAAAAGAATACTTCTAAAGCGTCTATGCCTATCTATAGTTTAATTTCCTTTTCATCTGGCATTTGTAATGACATTTAAAGAAAAGACGACCGATATAGTAACCTTCCTCACAGTTTCTCATTCAAATTTTCACTTCTGCTAGGCTGGTTGCCATCCAATGCTATAATGTCTAATCTACCTTACTATTATACTCCCTACTGATGCAAGTTTTGCACGCATTTCATGCCTTCAAATACGCAAAGAGAGCATGAATAGCACGCCCCAAAAAATGCATTGTACCTTCCTAGGAAAAAGTGATGAATCAATAAAATCATGAACTAATTAGGCTTTGTTTTTTTTTTTTATCTTGATTTGTTTTAACGGTTTATCAACCTTTTGCATGTTATTTAAAGCCAGATTTTTTTTTTTTGCTTTTTAAGTATCAGTCCTTCATTATGGCAGCGAATGAAGGATAAGGAAGAGACTCTAGGCAACGGAGATGTGGTTCTGCAGAAGGATGTTGAGTGTTTCGTGGACCGATCGTGTGAGCAAAGATGAGGTCTTTTATAGGATGCAGACAAGGATGAGGCTCATGCTTAACATCAGGAAGAGACCGCTGAAGTTACTGGGACACAGAATGAGGAAGGAAGGCCTGGAGAATCTGACACTCACGGGTCGAATAGAGGGAACGATAGACAAGGGGTTGCAGCGCGTAACATTCCTGGCAGGTGGATGACAAGACGTGGTCTTAAGGAAATAGCAGAGAAGGCACTAGTTGAGAGCTGCCAGGGATAGAGGGAAGTGGAGAGACATGGCACATGAAAAGAAAGAATGATTTACTGATACATGTCCTACTAATTTACTATAGTTAGTGAAGAAGATGTGGATTCATGCCTTTCCCAAGGGTATTTGCACGTAAGTGAATATCATCATCATCTTGCGGCTTCAGCCGAGATTGAACTCACTACACCTTTCCACTATTCCTTATCTGTCATAGCTAATACTTTGATTGGTGTCGTTCGTAATCTTGTCAAATAGCCGAATTCTTGATGCTTCGCTAGGGCTATCAAGGGTGTTTTTATCGTGACACCATCACTAAATGGATTGCCAACCAAGTCTCAGAGAGACTCCATTCACCCTCCGCAGGCTCTGAATTCAGAGTTTTCCTTCTCCTAGACCAGTTGCCATCCAAGGCTGTAGAACCCAGTCTGTCCTGCTATTTACTCATAGCTGGTGGGGAGAAGAAGAGGATTCACACCTTTCCCAAGGGTATTAGAACGTAAGTGAATGTAATGGATTCGACTGGAATTCGAACTCGGCTCTCCGATTCCTCAATCCAAGCCGCTATCCATTACTCCACGGTGTGAATATAACGAACCTGACTGGAATTGAAACTCAGCTCTCCGTTTTCCAATTCCGATTCGTTATCCATAACACCAACCGAACATCCAAAATTACATCGCCTTGTATTCACAATCGGTTACCCATCTAGGCACTGACAAGGATCGACGTTGCTTAACTTCGGTGATCATATAAGAACCGGTGTTTCAACGCGATATGACCGTAAATCCGAACCGATTAGCGTTCTAACAAAGCAAATGTTAAAAATAGGTCGATTTCGACCAAATTTAACGCTGTGACCTGATTGACGGTTGATGTAATAGTCTGTTTCGATTGGTGGCTTGAATTAAAACAAGTACTTATTTACAAGAAAGGTGTGGTGTCTTGACGAATGAGAACAGTATAATTCTCTAAATTCACATCCTAAAATTGACCTTGTGCCAAACTTATAAAATGTGTTTAGTTAAGTGATCTTTTCCGAATGTATTTAATTGTTCGGCCTATCCCGAGAACCGTGTGTGTGTTTTGATTCATAACGGCAGTTATTCAGAGGAGATCTTACAGTACGTGCGTACATACTTTCCTGTAGGGTTACTCAGTCGTCCATAAAAGTCAATTAATTCTGCCTGGTTATTGAGCAATCTGTGTATTTATCTTAGAATTTAATACGACTGTTTAATTTAAGCATTTAGTGCAGGGCTTTTTAGGGAAAAAAAGCTATTCCCTCCTCTATATTCTTGCAATACTCCAGATGTGTCTTTTTGATTATTTTCTATTCCCAAAACTAAAATTAATATGGTATTGGATATTTCAGATAGGGGACGAGATTAAGGAGAACAGCCCGATGTTGCTAATCATGATCCTGAATGAGAAAATTGTAGATATTCTTTAATTGTAATAAAAATTTTCGAATACGCATGAGATAGTAATTATTCCTTCCTCTTTTATGTTCCTTGTCCTTTCAGAATGTAGGGGGTCATGGCTCTCCACATCTTCCTGTCCCTTTTAGCTCTTAATAAGTTTTGTATTAGTGTTATTTCTTCCACACTCTGTTCTGTCATTCATTTACTTCAGTCCATCGAGAACGTTAACCGCTGCTTTCCTCTTTCCCTCAATCTGTCCTCTGAGTATCAGATTTTCCAAACCTTCCTTCCTCATTACGACCCCCAGAAATTCCCACTGCTTCTTCCTGATGTTAAGTATAAGTTTTATTTATGTTTCCATTCTCTCCAAAACCTCGTCGTTGCTCACATGTTCGGCCCATCGTCAGTATTATTTTAGTAGAACATTTCTGTTACCCCAAATAACTTTTTCATCGTTGAGGAGATTGTCCAGCATTTGCTGCCATACAGGAGAACAGATATCACGTAACAGTTCATTACTCTTTCCAACGAAATTTTCCTGTCTCTTAATACTCTGCTTAGCTTTTGGAATGCAACTTTGGCCATGCCAATAGGCTTTTTCGTAATACGCTTTTTCGTACACTTCCCAGATATTTAAATTTCTATGGCACCAAAAAGAAGAATACGACACCATTGCCTTAGGCAGGCTATTTTATTTTGTATCAAATGGTTGCATTCTTTTGGAACGTGTAACTGCGTGTGAGCAAAATCGTTCATGTAAGCTGTTAAAATCAGAGATGCGCCAGTGTGAGCAACGCAGACTTTGTGAGTTGATCAAATCATATTTTATTAATAGTTAAGTGAAAAATTATGATTTTTCCTGAAGCTATGAACAAAATATAAAAATTATTCATTTTCGAAGGAATCTTATTTGGATTCGTAGTCAAGTGAAATATAGCGTTCATTATTTTGAAGGGGGAACGGAAACTCGAAAGAAAAGTGAGAAAAAGAATGAGACGAAAAAAAAAAAACTGAGTGAATGAAAGAAATAAGGTCGTAATAAAGAAAAATGTGGAAATTATTATAAAGAACCTGGAAAGAGAAATAAATCAGGAAAGTTTGCCTATTTCTTCTTGTTTATTGGAATTTCTCGGAAATAAAGAAAATGGAGGGAAATGTTTTTTGAAAGAAGTGAAGAAGAAGAGAAAAGAAGGTGAAATATGAAAAAGAATGAAAGAAAGAAAAGGTTAATCAAAGAAAGCTTTAGTTAACAGGAAAAAAAGAAAGAAAAAGAAGAAATAGTTCGGCACTTGAAAGAGAAAGAGATGAATAATGGAAGAAAGAAAGAAAGAAAGAGGGAAAGAAAGAAAAAGGTTTAATCAAAGAAAGCTTTAGTTAACAGGAAAAAGAAAGAAAAGGAAGAAATAGTTCAGCAATTAGAAGGGAAAGAGAGGAATAATAGAACGATAAAAGAAAGAAAGAAAGAAAGAAAGAAAGAAAGAAAGAAAGAAAAGCTGGAGAGGAAGAACGAAATAAAGGAAAGAAACGGAGAAAACCATGGATGAATGCAGAATTAAAATAAACAAATATCGAAAAGTGCTTGAAGAAACAAAAAAGTGGAACAGTGGAAATAAATTCAAAATATAAAAGAGATAAACGAAATGACGAAATCAGGAATAAATTAAAGATAGAGAAAAAAGGATAAAAACAGGGAGAAATCGATCAAATAGAAAGAGTGAAAGAAAAGGCTAATAATTAAGTAAAAAAGAGATACCAAGATGATTCAATAGTTATTTAGTTAGATAGATAGAAAGATAGATAGATAGATAGATAGATAGATAGATAGATAGATAGATAGATAGATATTAACAGACTGAGATAGATAGATAGATAGATAGATAGATAGATAGATAGATATGAATAGATTGAGATAGATAGATAGATAGATAGATAGATAGATAGATAGATAGATAGATATTAACAGACTGAGATAGATAGATAGATATGAATAGACTGAGATAGATAGATAGATAGATAGATAGATATATAGATAGATATTAACAGACTGAGATAGATAGATAGATAGATAGATAGATAGATAGATAGATAGATAGATAGATATGAATAGACTGAGATAGATAGATAGATGAATGGATGTGAATAGACTGAGATAGATGGATGAATGGGTAGATGGATGGATGGATGGATATAGATGGATGGATGGATGCGACCAGACTGACATGGATGTGAATAGACTGAGATAGATAGATGGATGGATGGATGGATGGATGGATGGATGGATAGATGGATGGATGGATATTAACAGACTGGGATAGATGGATGGATGGATAGATGGATGGATGGATAGATATGGATGGATGGATGGATGGATGGATGTGGATGGACTGGGATGGATGGATGGATGGATGGATGGATGGATGGATGGATGGATGGATGTTAACAGACTGGGATAGATGGATGGATGGATGGATGGATGGATGGATGGATGGATGGATGGATGGATGGGGTGTGAATAGACTGAGATAGATGGATGGATGGATAGATGGATAGATAGATGGATGGATGGATGTTAACAGACTGGGATAGATAGATGGATGGATGGATGGATGGATGGATGGATGGATGGATGTGAATTGACTGGATAGATGGATGGATGGATGGATGGATGGATGGATGGATGGATGGATAATATTAACAGACTGAGATAGATAGATGGATGGATGGATGGATAGATGGATAGATAGATGTTAACGGACTGAGATAGATGGATGGATGGATGGATGGATGGATGATGAATGGATAGATAGATGGATGGATAGATACGACCAGACTGACATAGATATTAACAGACTGGGATGGATAGATGGATGGATAGATAGATAGATAGATAGATAGAAAAAGAAAGAAAGAAAATGAAGGTAAAGTTTTAATGATTTACTATATTTTGAAAGAAAATGAGAAGATAAAATAAAAAGAAGAAAGAAAGTAGAATTATAAAAAGAGAGAAGTAAAAGAAAGAGAAAGAGAAAGAAATAGCTAATTCTTATATTGAAAACGAAAAAAAGAGGAACAGGAAAAAAGAAAGAATAACCCAAAAACAAAGAAAGAAACATTGATAGATGAAGAGAATGAAAGCTATAAAAAATAATACTAAACAATAAATAAAGAAACCTGTTGAAAAAAGCAAAAATAAAATGAGTTGAAGACGTTTTTCTCAGTCTTTTTAAATGAATCTTTGTTCTGTTAACCCGCGACAGCGTCAGTATAAATCAAGGCATATAGAACGTTGTTTTCGCCGAAGTCTCTCTTCCCAAAACAAGTCACAGATTACAGTAACACCAGGTTTTATGTCGACGCTGCGTCTGACTGGAAATTCGAATATTTAAAAATTAATTTTTCGCATTATTCTATATTTGAAATGAAGCAGAACAAAAAAATAACATATGTCCTATTGCACCAGCAATGAACGCCGCCCGTATTTACGAGATTTATTTAGTCCAGCACAGTGTTACAAGTGATTCCGCCACCGACCACAAGCTCATGTAGGAAATACTCAAGTAATTCAACCATTTATTAAAATTATTAATGAGGGTTTACGTTTAAAACTAAAAATGTATGCTTGGTAAATTGCGTTGCATGAATTTCTTATACGTTTTTGGTTGTGATATTTGCATACACTTGTTCTTTTGTTTGCCATTTTGTGTGTTCTTAATACTCTGCATCCTTTTTCCTAACACCAAATTCTACAAATATTTCTTACTGGTTAATCCACTTTATCCGATTATCATATATATTTCGAAAATCTCTCAAATGCGATAATTTTAGTTTTGTATGTCAACGAAGACTCGATGTCACTTTTGTAATGTCAACGAAGACTCGTTGTCACTTTCATAAGGCACGCTGTAATAGAAACATTGTAATCGCAGATACAACTACAGTAACGCCGTTGAACAATACTGGCGTCAGACGCCTTCGAATATCACTCGCACTAATAGTACTTGCTCGATAATACTGGTTCAAATAGTAACCACCGAATTGTGATCCGTATAGAGAAGAGAACAGAGGAGAAAAAGCGATCTGAACAGAAATAGAAAATAGTGTAGAAATAACAATCAATGTAAACGTCCCGTGCCTTCATATATGTATTTCATCTATAGTCACGTGATCCACTTAATTTAATAATGAAATTGCCTGTGTAATGCCGACGAATACTCGTTGTCACTTTCGTAATGCTCGTTGTAGTAGAGACTTTGTAATCGCAGATACAACTATAGTAACGCCGTTGAACAATACTGGTGTCAGACGCCTTCGAATAACACACCCACTAATAATACTTGCTCTATAATACTGGCTCAAATAGTA